GCCGATGTCCAACCCAACAGCTCCTTCTTCAGTTTGGGAAATTGGTACGAAATGTGAAGAAGACCAGTGTTACAGTGCTGGTGGAGGAGAGGACAGGGCACAAGTGCCGCCACGCTCCTCTGCTTCCCCTGGCCGAGGTCCCAGTGGAGAGGAGGGCTGGTGGCTGCTGGGCAGGTCCTGCTCCATCACAGCATCTCCTGCCAGCCTCATCCACTGCTTCTTCTCGGCCATGGGAGGCCATGCAACGTGCTTAGTCAAGCCATCACGTTGTCACCTAAAACCTCTGACCGGTCTGTCAGGGAATGTGGCTTCAGGGAAGGTGGCCCCTGAAGGTAGCTTCAGGAGAAAGTGGCTTCTGCTCCACCTCGGGTGAGCAGAAGACCTGGTTTTGCTACGACTTCCTCCTGTGATGGGGTTCAGCTGGTTTTTCCTTGAGGTCAAAGGTTTCTGCATGTCCAAGAGAGCGGTGGAAAGCAGCTAAGAAAAGCAAGTGTATTTGTGCTACGTAAGATCTTTCTGGTGGAACTCACAGCTGCAGGGGAAATTGTTTTATGGTTTTCAGCCTCTGCTGATTTGTGAACCCCCAAACAAAGTCCCGTCACCGGTGTCTGTTGCAGCGTGCTTGCAGTCAGAGATAACCAAAGTGCGGCAGTAGGAGGAAAGCCTGCAGGCCCTGGTAGGATGCTTGGAAAAGAGATTCACGGTCACGTTATGCGAAGAAATCAGCCCTTAGGGACGCTGAGGTGTGGCAATGCGATGGTGATGTCCTTCATGGCCTGTGGCATCACAGGACATTTCTTGGAGAAGCATCTGACCCATCTGAGCTGGAAGGACCCTGCTGGAAAGAACCTGGAGGCTATGGCGGACCTCAGGTTGAACATCAGCTTGTCATTGCTCTTCTCTGGAGTAAGGCAAAGCCCATAGTGGAGGACATTGGGAAGAGCATGGGCAGCCACCTGAAGGAAGCTGCTGCCTCTCCACCCAGTAGGGTCCAGATGTGGGCCTCCCGGTTCAAGAGGGATGTGAAGAAACTGGAGAGGCCGGGAGGTGGGCTATCAGCATGGTCGTGGAGCTGGCACGCATTGTGCCAGGAGAGGTGGAGGGGGCTGGGCTGCGTTAGCCTGGCCATGAGGAGGTGAAGGGGGTCTGAGGGCAGCCAACAACTAAGATGATGGAGTCGAATCCTTCTTGGTGGTGCCAGATGATATGATGGGGGACAACAGCCACCGACTGCAGCTTGGGAGGTTCAGGTTGGACCCCAGAAGAAAATTCTTCCCCAGGAGAGCGGTGCAGCCCTGGGACAGTCACCAGGAGCTGAGGGATCTCCATCCTTGGAGGTTCCCAAGACTCGGCCAGACAACGCCACGGCTGCCCTGACGTGGTGCATTGCTGCCTGCTTGGGCTGGAGCCTCCAGTGACCTGCCAGGATGCAAGTCAGCGTCTGTGACGTGGGATTTTTGCATTTACCTGTAGGCTGCTCACTTGCAGGCTCTCCTCTGGCTTGCTGGGGCTGTGGTCGAAGCCCGTAGATGGGCTCGTGCCTGGGTGAAGCTCTGCTGTCCTAGGATAGCCTGGGGACCGGGGTGAGCTTACAGTGCCCAACCTTCCTGGGGCACCAGCCCCAGCTTTGCTGTCTGCATGAGTGAGAAAGTGCCCTGAGAGGAGGCTGGCGCTATTCCCAAATTCACCTTGCTGGGTCACCATCATGAGCATCAGGGCTGGTTCCCCCCTGACGCTCTTTAGTGCTGATGCGAAGAGGTTTGTACAGGACCGCATGATGTCTGTGACAACCTCTTTCCTCTTTAATTGTATTTATTTTTGCACATTTATCACCTGGATTTCACTCCTTTCCTTCTCCCAGACCTTTCTGAGCCTCCTGGAAGCCTCTTCTGTTTCTCCAATGGCCTCTGTGGCAGAGGGAGAGGGACTTCAATGCCACCCCAGGCCTCGCAGGCTCAGTGTGCCCATTTTTCTATTGATTTTGTCTATTTTGGCTTTGGTGACATTGAGCGGATTCATCACCTCCCATTACTCTGCTGTGTGAAGTCCCAGGAGTGGTTTCAGCTGTCATCTTTCATCTTCCCAAGTAAAACCTGAAGGAAAGGGGAGGGAGAATGAAGGAACTCTGAAAGGTGGCCAGGAGTCTTGTAAGCAATGCCGACAAGTCGCGTGACGGCCCATCCCTTTATTCTTCAGCTTTCTGGTATGAGATGATGCTTCTCCAGCTCTGCGATGCCGAGTGGTGCCAGGGAGCGTGCCGGAGCCCCATCCCCTCCTGAGTGCCGTGCTGGGCTGGCTGCAGTCCTGGCTCCGGGTGGTCTCATCCCATTCTGGCGTTCACCGGCTGCCTCCATCACCTCCGAGATTTGCCCCACAAGTTGGTCTTTTGGTCCGGTGGTCTTCTCCCGGGCCATCATCCCTCACCGTGGGCAGAGCTCGGGACGGCTCAACAGCGGGCACCGGTGCTCCTGGCTCCCACGGCAGCAGAGCCCCGTTTTCATTGGGGCAGGGAGGGTCCCCCGCAGCCCACGGCTCTGGCTCCTCCAGGGAGAGCCGGGCAGAGCGGTGGGTGCTGCGGCCCCATTGGCTGGGGGGGGGTCCGGGTGA